ACGCCATAAATGCTGTCAAGATACGGAGGGCTGACGGCTTCGTCATTCATATTGGTAGAAACCTTATGTTCCAGACGCTAAAACCATTTTCTTTTTAGCTTCGAGTTCTAGACGTTTTCTTTTTTCAGTTACGGAAATTCTTTTGATTCGGTGAAACTTTTTGTTTACGAGACCAAGCGGGTTTACAAAAAAAAGGAAATTTTTTTTAGGGGGGGGGTCTAATATTTGGGCCTTCACTGTTGCTAGTTTGGCGGACAATTTTGGTCTCATTTTGCTCAATATTTGATGCTTAATGCAATGGAGATAGTCTCTTTTGTGGAACCGCTATTTTTTTTTTCAACTTCCGAGTTGAGAAGTTTTTCTCAGCAGGCAAAGTTATCGACTGAAGATGGTATCGTCCCACCCCATCTGAACTCCCGATCATTCTACGCACCAGCCACTGCAACTTCACTGCGTGACAACACGTCTTTCAGCCTTGTGTGGAAGTCCTTGCAACGTGCTCAATGCGAGCTGTAAAAAGCAAGTCGGTGGATATTCCCTCAAACCAAAATACTTCTGTCAACAGAAAACGCAAATCAGACATGGAAAACGTCAAGCAGCCAAAACGAGTTAAAACGTCAGCTGAAAAAAAGGAAGACTTTTCGTCATTTTTCGAGAAGTTTCTCTCTCCTTCATCCGACAGTAACGACATAGTAGGTCGACACGACCTATTTCAAGAATATAGCACGTACTGTCAACAAAATGGGCTTCAGGAGATACACAAGTTCCAGATCGGACGTTCAATGACCACCCGAGGTCTGGAGTTCACCACGAGGGTTGGACCAGAAAATAAGCGACTGTATTATTATAAATGCTTAAAATGGACTGACAGAGGAATGTGTAAAGATGTTCCTAAGCCACCAAGACCCTGCAAAACACTCCACCACCATGTGAAACTCGACCAGATCTCACCTGTCCTGATCGAGTTCGAACCCGACATATTCGAGGTCGAACCCGACCTGTTCGAGGTCGAACCCGACCTGGTCGAGGTCGAACCCGACCTGATGGAGGTCGAACCCGACTTGGTCGAGGTCGAACCCGACTTGGTCAAGGTCGAACCCGACCAACACACCCAACGTGGCCAAGGTCGAATCCGGCCAGGCCGAGGTCGAACCGAACCAGGTCGAGGTCGAACTCGACCAGGCCGAGGTCGAACAAGACCAGGCCGAGGTCGAACCGGACCAACACACAACCAACATGGCCAAGGTTGAACCCGACCAACACACAGCCAACGTGGCCAAGGTCGAACCCGACCAACACACGACCAACGTGGCCAAAGTTGAACCCGACCAGGATGAGGTCGAACCCAACCAGGACTTATACGACCTGTCTCAATTCATAGCGGACCTGGACATGATCTCACTCGACCAGCACACACCCAATGTGGCCAAGGTCGAACCCGACCATAATACACATACCGTGGCCAAGGTCACACTAGAAGAAACACCCCAAAGATTTGACCTCAATCTGGACGAAATCTTAAGCCAAAAGTGGGAAGAGGAATATGATTGGGGGGATCAATGATTCTCCAAAATAAAAATTTTCATTTATTATTAAATACTTTAATTTTCCTTAAAAACATCACAAGTGTCAGTCATTTTTTTTTCTTTTTCAGCTTAACCCACAAGTACATAATTTATAATAAAAACTGTTGCCCAGACAATGAGTCAAAACTATATACAATATTGTTTCTCTTACCATTGACAACAACACATACATAACGGCACAGCACAGAATATATGGTTTCTCACTCTTTATCTTTTTTATTTTTTATTTCTTTATGGTTCTTTATTAGTATTATTTATTAGTATTATTACATTATTATTATTATTATTATTATTATTATTATTATTATTATTATTATTGTTCTATTATTTTAATTTTTGTATATTTTATTTAAAAATTTACTTATCTGAATTATTATTATTATTTTTATTATTATTATTATTATTATTATTATTATTATTATTATTAATATTATTATTTTTATTATTATTATTATTATTATTATTATCATTATTATTATTATTATTATTATTATTATTATTATTATTATTATTATTATTATTATTATTATTATTATTATTATTATTATTATTATTACTGTATTATTATTATTATGAAAATTATTACATTTTCGCCCCCTTGGCCCTCATCCCAGGAATTTTCCGGGTACAGTGAGTTCTGCTATAATGCATGTTTTGACAACGCGAATTGGCTCTAACGCGATTTATGAATAGAGGAACGATATTTGTATAACGCGAACGCTTGTTTGCTGTAACTCGATTTTTGCTTACTATTTCTCCAATTTTGTGGTATTAACTGTGAATATGGTAAAGAAGAATATCTCTAAGAAGCGTTCTGGTGATCGCATTGCCAGTAATGATCGTAAAAGAAAGGCTATAACCCTTGAAGAGAAGCTCGATGTTATCTACCTCAAAATCACCCTTCTCCCCCATCAAGTTATATTCATATTTTTTCAAGATAAAGTGTTACATTTACTGTATGATTTCATTATTAGATATGAATGTAACATTTATTTAGACTGTGCTATCCTTTGTGTTAGGCTAACTACTAAATTTTTTTTGATTTCGAGTAGTAATCTGCACCTAACCCTATTTTCTCCATAAGCCCTGTTATTTCTATTACGCGAATTTCTATAACACGATGTTTTACAAGAACACAACTCTCGCGTTATAGCAGAACTGACTGTATGTCAATTAATTATTTTGAACATTTTAGAGATGATAACTACAAAATTGCTGTCAGCTGAATAAAAATTTAAGAGATTTTGTTATTAATTTAGATTTGTGTGATGTTTGACGATAATAAAATATGTCTGTGTACTGTACAGGCTTATTAATGCAATGTGTACATTATACGGCCAAATTTTATTTATTTATTTGATTTATGTTTTTACAAAAGCCTGTAGAAATAAGGTTTAGTGATAGTCACTGTCGTGTTTTTGTTTTGTTTTACATAATTCATCATTAACTTGAAGTGCAAATAGAGAACCTTGATTTTACATTTGGCAATTATATCATGGCTTCATTGTTTTCTGACAATTTATAAAGCTAAGTTCAGGAATATTCTTTATCCTGTGAACATTTTTCTACTAAGACTAGCACGGTAAAGATACGATGGATGCCAACCACAGAGCTCGATCCAGTAGTGTGCTGTACAGTATTTATTTTCCTTTTTTATATCGGGATGTAGAGCAAAAATATATATATATATACTATATAAAATTTACTCCATAGCATTTTTGTCATGAGTTTATACTTTTTTAGTTTTTTTTCAGTTAGTACAATTTTGATTGCACAAAGTGGGCAAGGCTGTGATGTAGAGGGAAATTGGGGGTAAAAACATGCAAAAACCTGACCAAATCAAACCTAACAAAACCTGACCTAACATAATGTAACCAAACTTGATTGAACATTACCTTTTGTGTGTGTGTGTGTGTGTGTGACATTTTGCATCATTTTATGAAGTGTGAACGTAAAACCCTCCACCAATTTTTGATAAATTTCACTCAACTTAGTACCATAGTGTCTGATGTGGAGGTATAATAAGGCTGCCAAGGTGGTTCTGCTCCAATGAATCATCCATCTGTCCATCATTCTCATTTAATATACAGTACTGTGACTATTTTCTATAATCACTTATATCCACAATTTCTGCTGGATCTATACTTAATTTTGCACAAATTTCAGGGACTTATCATAGGTGTGTGTTTTTTTTTTGGGGGGGGGGTTGTTTTTGTTTTTCCAGTGAATATTCAATTCAATTCCAATACTGAATCTTGAATGAACTCCATTTTTACCTTTGATTTCATAGAATAACTAAGTAAAATCAATTCATCCTTTAGTTTTCAGTGAGTTTTCACATCACTGGGTAAAAATGTTGTCTGCAGATGCTGCTTGCCACACAGTTGTTCATACAGAATGTAACAACAAAAATTATAAGGTCAAAAACATAGCTAAAGGGAATAAACATTTCTTACATGTGTGGCTGTTAGCACACACTTCGGTGGAGGGCGCAGCAGAGTGGTGGATTGTGGCTCACTGTCTCGTGTCCCGTGTGTAGTGAAACGACTGCCAAATGATAAAGCAATTTTGATATTTTTTTATTATTTATCCCTCACATTTACTAGTGCAGTATGCACACAACACAATTCAGCAAAGCGTACACATGTCAAGAGACGTGTGTGGCTGCTGCCTGTATGCCATGACTTCACATAAAAGGGAGGGAGACTACGCCTGGTCTCAGTCACTGGTCACTGTCTCAATACTTACAGTACCTTCACTTCTCACACATACACACCCATGCTCTTCATCTTTCTTTTTCTATAGTTTTTTATTGCGGTATATTTTCTCTATTTATATGCCCCATTTACGTGCAGGTGTATTGTAATGATTCGCACTTGGAGCACAGAATCCCCAGTTTTTCCGAATTCTTTCCTGAAATTTTTGCAGTGAGTCAAACATTGTTAAACCGAAAATTTAACATCGTTAAGCAAGAGTGTTAAAAATTTTATATCACTAAACCAAAATACAGTAATGCTAAGTGAATGATTGTTAAACGAGGGATACCTGTACATTATATGGATAGGTCTGCAACAACAGTTTCTAATCTAATTGTGATTTCTGTAGTGTAATAAGCCATAGCAAGGGGAAATAGGTCTTCTTCATGGAACTCTTACTAGTACACTACTGGGTATAGTATTTCATTATACAGAATCTTTCTTACTTAATATCATTATTCAATTTCCTCTGATTCTATTGTTACAGAGACATATAATTACAGTACTTTAGTGTTTGCCTGATTAAAGGATTAAAAAATAATTTTAAAGTATATGTATAATGTAATATTTCATCTTTTAATCTTCAGAATTTATGTAGGACAATACAAATGCCTAGGACAAAAAAAAGAGACCTAACTGTTCTAATGTTTCTCCCACAGGTAGTACAAGGCATAGAGTTTACCCCCTTCAAGGCCTATACCCGTTCAGTCCTGACAGTGAATGCCACGTCAACAGCCAACTACACTTGTTCTGCAAATAATGTTGTACAAGGCAGCCGCACTACAGACTCAAGAACATTTACGGTGTCTGTGGTACACCCTGTCAGTCGTGAGTACAGTACCAGGTGCTATTTGGGGCTCTAGATGTTTTTAAGTACAGGTATAGCAAATGTTTTGGCAACTTTTGGAGCTGTTGGCTATTTTTTCTACTCAACCAGGTGTGTTTTAGGCACTATCACATATTTGATAATACAGAAAATTATTTAACCAGTCAACTTTTTTATTCATGAGCTGCATTAGAGAATCAAATAAAAATTTAATCCACTTTTACTAACAGTTCTGTCATAAAAAAATTTAAATAAAAAAAACGATAAATAATTATACATCTTCAAAATTGCTACCTGTAATTATAAGGAACAGTGCAAGGTATATAAAGCAAGAAGCATTTCGAACACTTGTGATGTTTTTCGTGTAAAATGTGACAAACAAATTAATTTTGAATTTCATGATGATATACAGTACCTAGACAGAACATTGATAAAAAATTTATTCTGTACTGGTTAGGTTTTGTCTCCCAGAATTATTATAATTATTTACTCTGTAAAGATTTTTGTTTTGTTATTCACTGTTTCATGAATGTTACTTTATTGTATTGTATGATCTTCCACAGCTGTGAGACGGCCAATGGGTTACTGTGCCCCATACAATGGCAGGGTATGTCAAGAGCACCTTGGAGGAAGAGGGCTAGTGTGGTACAACATCACTGCAGCTGATAAAGGAGGATGGCTGAATGAACACATCACGAAAGAACTTTGGGGTGAAATGATTGATAATTTTCGTGAGCCTTGCCGGACTGCTGCAGAGGTAAGAGAATAACAACTGGTGATTGGGTTATTAGCACCTTTAAATAGTATGGATCTCTCCAACCATTCTTTTCTTCCATGAGTCATAAAATGGGATTTGCAAACCTTTCTTTTGTAATGAAAACTGTGGGAGCTACCTGGAAGGTACAGTTTTTTTTTCTCCTTTTTTTTCTTTTTTTTTTCCAAGGTTTTGATCTTCCTCAAAGTCTTGAAGGTACAGTATTGTACTGTACTTTAAAAAATGGTGATTTTGCATCTATGATCAAAAAGTTGTAATTAAAAGTCCTGGTGAATCTTGAAATGATTATACAGTATTGTACATGTTTTGAATGCCATTTTTATGGATTTTCTTGCTTTACCACAGTAATTTTTCATTTTTTTTTGTGGCACCTGGCGCCCCTTCTGAAATTCTTAGTTCTGTAGTGCTCAGAAGCCTTTTCTAACGTCTGGTATTTGGGTCATATTCCAAACCCAATAGGTCCACACCTGTTTAATGCAGAATATGAAATTGCTTTTTCTCTATTTTTGAATAGATATGATTAAAAGACAGGATACCCCTCAAAATATAGGAAAGGCATCCAGCGGTAAAACTTTGCTTCAACATGCCTGATGGCAACTGGGTCACCAGAGCTGTGCCCATCCCCTGGTCTCTGCTGCATTTCCTGGATTGGTGTACTTATGCAGCATGCCAGCATAGTACCAGAGTTTGCAGTAATAAGTGGGAGGGAGGGAGACATCCCATTCTGGTAATTACAGCTAACCCATGCAGGCATGGAAAATGGCTGTGAAATGATGATGATTTAGTGTATTACTGTACTTTTCTCTAGTGTACTGTATCTTTTTATTATTACAGCAATACAGTACTAACTTTTCCCATATACTGTAGTTGAAAATTATGTTTAATTTACATATCATCAGGATTATACTGTTTTTAAGTAATGCTGTACAACTATTCTGCTTTTTTTTTCTTCAGAAACTTCTTTGCCATTATGCATTCCCAGAATGCCAGTTAGAAGATGGTTACCAGGTTGGGTTACCTTTGTGCCGTGAAGATTGTGTGGCAGTACGTAGCCTCTTCTGTGTCAACGAATGGCTTTTAATAGAACAGAATAAACAGGTAAACATTTTTATCTTAAAGTATATTTAATTAACAAAAGCATTTTATATTTTCTACAAGAATGGTAAGTATTTCCTGTCAACTTTTCTCCATAATTGCTGTTTACAGTTTGGTAAAATAATTTATAACATTTGTATTTCCATAATTATTATATAGTTTCATGGTCAGAAGTTACTTCAACATTAGATCAGCAGTTGGAAGAAATGAATAAAGTAAAAGAAATAGGGGGGCCTTCTCATTATCAAGTGACCAATGACTTAATTTCTCTTTACATTTAAAGTTAATTTGTCTATTTTTTCTAATGTAGTAGTTATTTTAAAAGTTGTCTTATTATTAGAAAGTATTCACATTGTTAAATTCCACCTTGTGAAAAAGTGGCAATATCCATGTCTCATAAATCTGTAGTCATAGCATTATATCTTCTAGTATTGTAGTTCCCTTTAGTCTCCTATTTAAAAACTACTGTATTCAATATACAAAAATTTTAATTACTGTACAGTAGAGTACAGTGAGTTCTGCTATAACGCGTGTTTTGATAACGCGAATTTGCTTTAACGCGATTTATGAATTAGGAACGATATTTGTATAACGCGAACGCTTGTTTGCTATAACGCGATTTTTGCTTACTATTTCTCCAATTTTGTGGTATTAACTGTGAATATGGTAAAGAAGAATATCTCCAAGAAGCGTTCTGGTGATAGAATTCCCGGTGATGATCGTAAAAGAAAGGATATAACACTTGAAGAGAAGCTCAATTTTATCAACCTCAAAATCACCCTTCACCCCCATCAAGTTACATTCATAATTTTTCAAGGTAAAGTGTTACATTTACTTTATGATTTCATTATTAGATATGAATGTAACATTTATTTAGACTGTGCTATCCTTTGTGTTAGGCTAACTACTAAATTTTTTCGATTTCGAGTAATCTGCACCTAACCCTATTTTCTCCATAAGCCCTGTTATTTATATTACGCGATTTTCTATAACACGATATTTTACAAGAACACAATTATTGCGTTATAGCAGAACTACCTGTACCTGTATATGGTAATTTCAGTACAGTATGGATAAGAGAAAATATAACAAGGTAATACAAATTAGGATGTAATTATTAAGTTTGGTTGTTCTGTGAACTCCAAATTATCATTGGTTAGAAGGACATGAAATCAATATTAAACTTGTACACAGATTATGAGAAGAAATTATTAGGTAATGTAATACAGTATGTAACTTTTGCAGGAGTGTTTGTATATTTAAAGTACAGGTAATATCAACACTTAATGCTACAGTAATATATTATGCTTAATGGGGACTAGTGTTGTCACAGGTTATTAAAGAGAACAAGACGCTGTTCAGAAGGGAAGAAAGTAGGATGAGTCAAACAAAGAAAATAAATGTTAATTGTCAACAAAAGGGGCCCCATATATAATTGACCAAAGAAGTAGAAGAATGATGAAAAGAATTTATTGAGCAACCATTAAATGTAGCTGATGAGAAAAGGGGGATGCACTGTAATTTAGCTAAATAACAGTACAGTACAGTACCTGAAGTTGATGGACTCACCATTGCAATGCTAAGTACTGTATATATATACAGTATAGTATGTATGTATGTATGTATGTATGTAGTGATACCTCCATTAGCCGGAACAATTGGTGCAAAGCACTTCTGGGAATGAGAGATTTCCGGGTAAATGAGACAACTCTCTCAAAGCCGGAAAAAATCCTTCATCCCCGGAATTTTCCGGGTAATGGAAAAATTTTCTCGGAATTTCCAGAAAATATGCCTGGTTTTCATCTTTCAAACCTGGAAAAAAACTCTCCCATCCCCGGAATTTTCCGGGTACCAGGAAAATTTTCTCAGAATTTTCCGGAAAATCGTTCCCAGTGCTGGAATTTTCCGGAAAATTCAGGCTTTGGGAACGATTTTCCGAGAAAATTTCAATTATGGCTATCAGAGATATTACTGTATATATATAAATGAGAATCACCCAATACAGTACTCTACTGTATATAAAAGAATATTTTGTTACATTACAGGTACAGTCAGTTCTGCTATAACGCGATACTTGTGTTCTTGTAAAACATCGTGTTATAGAAATTCGCGTAATAGAAATAACAGGGCTTATGGAGAAAATAGGGTTAGGTGCAGATTACTACTCAAAATCAAAAAAAATTTAGTAGTTAGCCTAACACAAAGGTTAGCACAGTCTAAATAAATGTTACATTCATATCTAATAAAGAAATCATACAGTAAATGTAACACTTTACCTTGAAAAAATATGAATATAACTTGATGGGGGAGAAGGGTGATTTTGAGGTTGATAACATCGAGCTTCTCTTCAAGGGTTATAGCCTTTCTTTTACGATCATCACCGGAAATGCGATCACCAGAACGCTTCTTGGAGATATTTTTCTTTACCATATTCACAGTTAATACCACAAAATTGGAGAAATAGTAAGCAAAAATTGCGTTACAGCAAACAAGCATTCGCGTTATACAAATATCGTTCCTCTATTCACAAATCGCGTTAGAGCCAATTCGCGTTGTCAAAACACGCGTTATAGCAGAACTCACTGTACAGTACAGTATTTATAAATTTCTTATAATCTTGGCAGATACAAGTGCAGGTTACGATATTAACAATTGTAATTTAAATATTTTATCTATCACAGGAAAACAGAGTGTTTAAAACCAGAAACCACTTCCGCTTGCCGAACTGTAGCTCACTGATGAGTCACGGTGATGGTTCACGCCGAGTCTGTTCACACATCGGCCTTACATCTGTTGATGAAGATCAAATTACTTGTAAGTCTCTTCAGTTTTATGGATGCAATTAGGGAAAAGAAAGTAAGATGGGAAGATTTAAAAGGTCTCAAAAAGGTCAGTGTTTCCTTTTTATGGAATATAAATTACAGTACCATTTTGGAAAAACTATAGAGGAGTTGCCACTGATGTCATAAAGTGCATGTGTTTATGTATACACTTACTGAGGGGACTCATGGATCTCTAGTGCATCCTTTGGAACATACGAGCCACATTTTACATGTACCCTGTATTGTAGATAGATATTTATGCAGTTTATTATGTTAGGTGTTTAAAAAAGGTTGCCAAAATCATTAATCTAGTTAAGCTTAGTTATTATGGGTATATAGATCCTAAACATTTAGAAAAGTACAGTACCTATGTACAGGGCTAAATGCTGTACCAATAAATAACTTTGGTAATGGCCTACTAGTTTTTGTACAAACTCCCTCATGTCATAACCTGAGTTTTTATGGGATAAACAATGAAAGGCTGGAAAGTTTGGATGTGTGTACTGTATTTGCTGGCGTATAAGACGCATTTTTTTTTTATACAGTTAACCCTCACTTTACGCGGTTAATGTAACCCGGAGGGTCCCGCGTAAAGTGAGAAACGCGTAAAGTGAATAACATAACATATGGGATTAATTGAAATGGAGTCCGGGCCGACCCCCAAACTCCACTTTTTGACGACACACAACTATGTTGTAGTAAAAATTTTATCTTAACTTTATGATGGTATGAAAAACCAAGTAATATAGAAGAGGTTAGGTTAGGAAAAATAAAGGTTAGGTTAGAAAACTAAAATTTAGGTGGAACACTTACGGTAGTAGAAGAGATGGGTCGGCATACAGGGATGGAGGCTGGTTCCGAGGCAGAGGGCAGATTACTGGCCCTCAGGTGAATCACCATTACTAGGTGAAGCACCATCACTGTCACTTACAGTTGTCAGGGCTTCCCTGACAAATCCCTCAAAGTCATCTTCACTGTCACTATCACTGGCTTGGGCCGGCTGTGGTGGGTTGCGGGCGAAGAAATCTGTTATGCTTTGCTGACGGCTGGTGTTGATGTTGTCGTGATACACCTTGATGTACTGCCCCATAGCCTGCACCAGCCGGGTATGGAAGACTTCATAGCGGTCATCGTCATTGTCGCGGGAAAGGAAGGACTTCATTTTTTCTGCACACTCCATGGCACCCTTTATATCACTATGACTTAAACTGTGTTCTTCGGAGAATGACGCACCTTCTTCCTCCTCTTCACTGACGTGTTCTTCTTCCAACATCTCGTCGGCAGTCACTTCAGGATCTCTGATCACCTCCAGGATGTCGTCGTTGGTGGTCTCGGAGAAGCCTGGAACTGTAACAGTCTGCGCAGCTTCTCTGGCAAGGTCCACTGCTACTGCAACATTCTGAACCTCACCAGTCACAGATTGACTCCTCCTCTCACCTGGTATTCCATGCAACACATGTCTCCATGCGTGACGAATTGTAGCAATAGACAGCTGATCCCATGACTCCACCAAGAAGTCCACAGCTTTCTTGATGTTAAATACTCTCCAGAATTGTTTGAAGAGTATTTTTTGCTGTTCCAACTGTTGATCCTCATCTTCTTCGCTCTTGCTATTGGTGGTGGTGTCACTCAGGTTACGCAACTCTTCCCTGGTGTTGGTGTAGTCGTTCAGGAGCTGGAATTTTTTTTTTGAGAATGCAGCTTTTACATTACAGATTAACTCTTGGTCCATGGGCTGTAATATAGACGTAGTGTTGGGAGGAAGGAAGACCATTTTTACGTTGGGGTGACGATCTAACAGTAGGGACGAGTGTCCTGGTGCGTGGTCCAGCAGCAACAAAATATTGAATGGCACATTCTGTCGCTCACAGAATTTCTTTACATCGGGAACAAAACAGTCATCAAACCAGGAGAGGGACAGTGTAGAGAACATCCACGCCTTACGTGCGGTCAGCCAGTGGACATTTAGCTTGGTCATGTCCATGGTTTTGTAGGCGTGCGGCTTGCGTGCTATGTGTATCACCGATAACTTGAGCTTACAGGTACCGGAGGCATTGGTGGTAAACAGGATGGTGATGCGTTCCTTCTGCATCTTCCGGTCCCGAATCCTGCTGGCATTCTTTACAACGAAGGACTTGGAAGGTAGCTTTTTCCAGAAAAGACCAGATTCGTCCATGTTAAACACCTGGTCGTCACTGTACTGTCCTTCCTCCATAATCTCACGTAAAAACGGAGGAAATTCCCGAGCCGCAGCACGGTCAGCACTCGCTTCTTCACCACCAATGTTTATATTGGTGATCTTGTTCCGGATCTTAAACCTCTGTAACCACCCAGAGGAAGCATTAAAGGGTTTGGGCTCTGTAATTCCCATCTTTCGTGCCACTGCGATGTACAGTTCACGTGCGTAGTCCTTAACAGAGCGCGTGTCGACCGCCATGTTCCGTCGCGCCTGACGCACCAAGTACCTCACAAGTAATTTTTCTGTCTTGAGAAGCACCTGGTTGTGAAAATACTTGATCATAGAAGCACCTGTAGACTTTGTGATCTTCATGTGCTCCTTTATCTTGGCTGCATCCTTCTTTATTGTTCGAATCGTAGATTCATTCACACCATGCTGGCGCACCAAATCAACCTGCCTTGTTCCTTTCTCCAACTCTTGGATGATGGTATACTTCACCTCGTAGCTTAAGGAACGTCTTGTCTTCTTTGGCTTAGTGCCGCTGGGTCCAGGAAAGGAAAGGTTTCTCTCTGGGGGTCGTGGTCCGGCAGAAGCCATTTTACGGAACAATGGATGCATGTTTACACGGTGTGGCCTTGAGGGATGAAACTGCCGCGGCTAGGTCAAGCGTCGTCTTTCCTCCCTCCCTCCCTCCCCCGGGTGGACACATCATAATACTTTAAGCCAATTACAGCTAGCAGCAGAGGGGGGTAGGGATGCATGGCCAATCACAGGTCTGATACGTCATATGACGTCAGTGATAACGCAACAAAAACACACACTGCGCAACCTTACTGCGCCGCTTGCCCAAGCGGAGGGAGAGGCGAGGAGCACAGGCAGGCAGGCGGGCGGGTGGCGGGTGGGGCGAATCTAAAAATAGCGTCGCGCCGGACACTCTCCGCGTAATGGGGTTCACGTACCGCGTAATGTGAGCACGTGAGGTTCTGGCAAGGCACCGCGTAAACGTGGAAACGCGGAATGCGGGACCGCGTAAAGTGAGGGTTAACTGTATATATATCCCCAATTACCCTGCGTCTAATGTGTCCGAAATACGGATGGGAGGCCGATCACCGTAGGCGGAGGTGCCTAGCTCGGTAGTCTGGGACGAGCAGTAGTCCACTAAGCACAAAAATTTTTACTAATAATATTACTCATAATAAAATACTGAAAACAAGCCAAATTATCACAATCACAAACTTACGGCAAATTTGCAGAAGACGTAAATAATGGCTTACATTGGCTTAACGGCAGAGGGAAGCTCACAACATCTCACTGTACCTCCTTCCCCAACATACGTAACCCACACCAGATACAAGTCTTACATTATTTAAGGACTGTGTTACCTTTAAGAAACATTTGTTTATTATCTAAATGAAAAATGGCCCTAGAAGGATTAAAGAAATGTAAACAGAAATTTCAGCTGCCAGGACCCAATTCAATTTACATCCTTATTTCCAGCGTATTTACAGCCAAAATATATTAAAAAAAAATTACTGTAAAAAAATGAAGAACGCCTTGCGCAAAGAAGCTGTCTGGCTAATGAGTGGTAAACAACAGTCGGAGCTTGGCGGGCCTTTTGTTTTCACGCATCTGGAACAGGAACAGGAGAAAAACTTTCTCAGGTTTCTTACAGCATTTTTGCATCCCTCTTCAACATGAGCAAGAGAGCAAGTGATGGTAGTGTTGTTTAAAAAGCTAATAGAAAGTGTATAAGCTTAGCCGAGAAACTAGATGTGTTAAAACGATATGAGAAAGGTGAGAGGTCTGTAGATATTATATGGAGCAAGCAATGAACATATTTTCTGAAGTGGATCCATTAACAGAACAAAGGATTAAAATTTAAATAAACACAAATGACCTCTACATAAAGATGTACTGTATAATGAGAAAAGAAAGCAGCTGTGCAAGGTTCTTTCGACAGCTTTATTATTCGAAGGCCTAAACCATCAACTTCAGCTACACCATCAAATTCAGCATCATAAGCAGCTTCAATATCAACTTCAGGTTTAGTAACAGTTTCAGCAACAGCTTTATGGAAAGCTACAGCTTCAGCCAGAGTTGAACCTACAGCTTCTGCCAGAGTTGAACCTGATGACTTCGTCATCTGAGTAAAAACTCGCACAATATTCATTGGCTGTCCTTATGTTTTAGACTTTACCACCATTGGTGAGTAGAATTTTTGTTTTACATTTGTAAATATTATTTAAAACATATATGAACAGTAAATAAGTGTTGTTTTCCTATTCATATGTAGAGAAATGACTATATGTTTTCACATGTATGCACTTACTGTTCATACGTTGGCGTTCCCAATCATCTCGCTTTATTTCTTTCCCATTAGTGGTTAGCTACTTCTAGTGTTCCATTTATTAACATTAACATACATCCAGGTATTCAATTTTTTTAGATTAAGTTCACTACAACTACAACCAGGGTCTTATTTTCTTCAGTTTCTTATGTAGAACCATCGTCACTCACGAAAACAATGACGTCTTGTCTCCTCGTGTGTGTTTTAATATTCTACGTATTATTGATGAATTGCATTGTTCATTTCACATATATAAACATTAATTCAATCAAATACATATTCAGTAATAAACAATAATGAATCTTTTGTACATATTCTTAAGATAAATGACTATGTTTCCTTGAGTGCACCCTTATACATTGGCGTTCCACTATCAGTCTCACTTTTTCTTAAATATCAGCGGTTATTTCTACTGTGCATTAAATAACATTAATTAAAACATACATATTTTTTACATTAATTTAAC